TACGCTGTCACGCTTCGTACGTTGTCTCTGCTGCTGCTGACAAAGCCTGCATCCAAAGAACAGTCTGAAAATGCAAGTAGCAGTTTCCTGCAGGGGCGCGATGGGAGTCTTGAGTCGTGAAGAACACATAAGCCTGCTGGAGGCCCTGGAGTGCACATGTAAGTAATGCAGCTTGCTCAAGTGCTTGCACGAGGCTCTCATAGACACCAACGCAAGAGAAGAGCACTGCGACCCGCAACTGGCACATCGAATTGAAGAGCTGGCGCCGGGCCCTCAAGGATGCAACCGAGTAAACAACAGGAGCGTGCACAACGAAGGAACACGATCCCCGCGGAGGACGACGAATGCTAGAGGCACGCAGCGTGGTTTCTGCTTGCCATCAGCAAAAAAAGCAAGAATGTCATCGGCAGCATAAAGGAGCCAAGAAGCGGAGACACCATCGCCCTTTTCGTGGACAGACGAGTCAGCATCTCGAAGCATAACACACCACGAACAACCGTAAGCACGACCCAAAGTCAGGTGCGAGCAAGTGACGGATACCTGCGCCACCACGCGGGAGCCCTGTATGCGAGCACAGCAAGTCAGTCTGCACCTCCGGCGTGCTGAGGTCTACCATGGACACCTTCGTGCACAACTGCCAGGACGTGCAGACGTTTCAGACTTGGACGTGGCATTTATGATGGCAACATCGAAGATGCATCTGCACAGGTCACGCGAGGAGCCGTCCCTGGCGGCGGCAACATGGTTCAACCCGGCCAACACGGGCGTGCCGGCAACATCGGAAGAGATTCACAGGCGCGGATATGCAGGAGCTGCAGCGATGGGCGAGGAAGAAATTTTCGAAGTCCCCCCAGACGGTCACTGCTTGTTCTCCTGCGCCGTCACGGCCCGAGATGTCGACCGACTTCGTTGCCTTCCCCAAGACAATCTCGGCAACAGGCTCAGAAGATCAGAGGATCGAGAACTGCTGACGGCGTGCGAGAGGGTGCGACAGATCGTCGGAGGCATGGCCGCAGACGAGGAGCGCTACGATGTGATAGCGCAACTGGCATCCGCAGAACTTCCAGAAGGAGCCATCCTGAGCTACGTGGCGCGCTGGCTGCGCGGGTCCGTGCTGGTGGCCATCGAAGGCGCCTCAGACGAATGGAGCGTTCTCTTCGGGGAAGGCCCCATCGTGTGCAAGCTTCTACTGGGCACCGTTCGCGACTCATCGGGTCGAGGGAGTCCTCATTTTCGGTTGGCCGGCAGTTGGATGCCGCAGGAGCACACCGCTGCCCGGACGCCGCGGAACAGGCGCAGCAAGAGAGACTGAGAGGATGAGTCCAGCAACGCATCCGACACTTCCAGCAGCACTGAACTGGTCAACAGGAAAGAACATTGAGCTAGGATCAGAAGACAAAACAGTAAGCGTTCCCACGCGGAGCGGGCAAAGCCCCCGCGTGAGGGCCGCAGCGCAAACATGAAAACGTGCCAAAAGGGCGAGCACTTGCATGAGCCCGTTCGCATATCCTCAAATCTCGTTTGATTGAGTAGTAGAGTTCAGGCTCAGGTGATTTCCGGGCTTCGGTGAAACCGCTGCTGCTGTTGAGTTTGCAAGTGCATGGCATGAAGCCATGATTATGCCATCTAGGATTTTCCTCCCCATTGCTTAACTTGACCAGAGACAATTCAGATACCTGCAACCTAAACCCTCTCAAAGGTGAAGGCAGCGAAACTTGAACCCGCTGGACGAGCGGCTGTCATGGTCCCGAACAAGCTGGCAACGATCGCGCGGGTGCAGCTGTAAGGGTCAGAGATCACCAAAGCGCTCAGCCTTGCACGGTGAGAGGCAGCGCCTCGACATGCTTGATGACATGCCACTTCCGCTGTGGATGCGTGCACCCATCGACAGCACGATCCTCAAGTGGAAGGAGGAGCACGTGAAGTGGGAGGAAAAGATCTCCCGGAGGATGGGGAAGCCGCTCCCGAAAGCGCAAGAGGCGAAGCACCAGGAATGGCTCCAAGACCGCACCCGCAAGCTCGTGCTCGACACAAACAATGAGGTGGCCGTGGTCAATGTCAGCTCCCGGTCGCTGACGAATCTGAAAAGGGACTGCATCCTCCTCACCATCTGGATGTCCCAGGATGCAGAAGACCTGAAGCTGCACACCAAAAATAAAATCTACGCACTACGATGCGTGGAGGCAGACGTCGGCCAAGACCCGGAGATGCCGGCGAACGTGGACTGCTTCTTGGGGGAAGCTCAGGTTGAGACTCAGAAGATTGAGCTATTGGATGAAAGTTGTATTTAGGTTCAGAAGGTGTCCACAGAATCCGTATCCCTATAACCCAATCAAGCCTTATAACCCATATCCCTATAACCCATGCAAGCCTTATAACCCCTTGAAGCCCTATAATCCATATACCTATAACCCCTATGACCCATGAAAGCCTTATTACTCATATCCCTATAACCCATTTGAGCTTCGATATAAGCCATGAAAGCCTTATACTTTATTGAAGCCTTATAAATCATGTCCCTCTAACCCATTTAAGCCTTACATAAACCCATTCAAGCCCTATACCTCCTTTAAGCCTTCCGTAAACCTTAAACCTTGGGTACTGCCACCCCCAGTAACAGTCTATATCAGGGGTCCTACTAAGGGCTATATATAACCATATTATAACTATTATCCAACTGTTACTGAGGGGGGGCAGTACCGAACCTAAACCCTAAAGCCTGTCTGCAGCCCTGGCAGGATGGAGCTGCCATGGCTGTGAAGCTCACTTCCCTCCCGGAAGCTCAGAGATACTAGCCCCAAACCCTAACCCCCTACACCCTAAAACTCTAAGGCAAAAACCCCAACCCTAAGCCCTAAACCCTATACCCTAAACCCTATACCCTAAACCTTCTATCCGAAAGCCCTATACCCTAAACACCTAAAACCCCAAACGCATGGGTGGCTCATAGGGCAGAAGGGAATCTCATCCGTGAGGTTGATAAGGGTTTGAGGTGTAGGGGCTTTGGTTTCAAGATTTAGGCTTCAGGGGTTAAGGGTTTAAAGTTCAGGGTTCAGGGTTGAGGGGTCAATGTTTAGGGTTTGGCGTTTAGGGTCCGGGGCTCAGAGTCTGGGGTTTAGGGTTGAAGTCCGGGTCGAGGTGCAATTAGGGTTCATTGTTGTGGGTTTAGTTTGTGTGTACGATATAGGAGTTTTGCGAATCAGTCCTTACAAGATCCTTAAGTGGGACCGCTTCAACTTGGTGAAAGTCACATGTGTCCCCCAAAGTCCCCCCCTCCCCCAACTTCAAGAAATTTTGATCTAGGGGTCTGAAGTATTATGAGTGCAACATGGTTCGCAAAGAAGAAAACCCCTGGACTTCGCAAGACTTTGCTTGCTGGTTGTCAGACTCGTGTCATTTCTTTTTCTGGCCTTTGTCATTTGTCTAACTTCGCCGCGTCCGCTTGTCAACTCGCTGGGCAACGTGCTACCTCTGTTCTCTACTTTGTGGTTTCCGCTTCCTGGTCTGAACTTACTCGAATAGATCCTTCCTCTTTCCAGCTTTCCTATCTGCACCCTTCTTGTTTATCATCTCAATTGGCCTCCATTGCTGTGGATTTCGAACTTGAAGCCTTGGACCCTTCTGGTTACCTCCGCTCGTGGCCTGGCACAAGGGCTGGATGCAACAATGCGAACCCCCGGGCCAGCATGTGTATAAAGCAGTTGTGTACTCTGCACGGGGAAGCGTTTGGGGCTGTAGGTTGCAGTTTGATGGTTCTAGTCTGGTTGCGGCGTGGGTGGCTACCCTGAACCCTTAACCCCTATATCCTCCTGTAAAGGTACCCCTAATTTTGGGCAACCCCTCCAAGTCCCCCAGACTCGAGGAAGCCTCCTCCGCCGCTGTGACACCTGTGCCGTAGACTTCTGTCCGAGCTGTGCGGCCACCTGACTTACCTTTGGTTAGCTAGGAATGAAGGAGTGGATCCTTATAGTAGTCTCTATCTAACCCATTCCAGTAGATTCCATTTTTTTTTCCATTCCTTCCTTCCCAGCCAACCAAGTGTAAGCTAAGGGATCACAAGGGCCTCAGGTGCGCAGTGGCTTAAGGGGTAGGCTTTGGAGTTTAGTTGGGTGTGGGGGATTATGGGGGTTTCCCAAAACTATGATATGATGAATGAGGGGCACCCTGTCCCAAAAACAGGAGTACGGAAAATTGGGCTCTATCTTAGGATGGTAATTTTTGATCCTAGGGCCGGAGCATGAAAAGGACTGTGCAGCTGGGTCAAAATTTTAGATGTTTTCTACGCTTGGAGGACCCCCATTCTGTAATAGTGGTACAATAAGACTATAATAAATGGACCCTAGTATGGTCCTTACTATGGGGGGTCTACCTAGTTTCTACGACAGTAATGCACTTGCGACACTGCCAATGGAAAAACAGGACCTCTGTGCTTCTGGAAGTGCATTGGGGGAGGAGCCTTTGCCCTCAATGTGTTTCGGCAAAACTATTTGGATGCCACTCTAGATCCGGAAAACGTCAAGCCAGATCATTGCATGCCTTACCCAAGCACGGTCAGTCCTTGATTCCTTGTATTTTCTGAAGGGAAACGGGAAATTAAGCTGCGACACGAATCTCATGGAATTCTGTCTCCAAATTGACAATCCTCTTTCCCTTTCAGGCTCGTAGGTTGACTTTATACCGTTCCCGACCATTCTTGGCTTTCACAACGACAAGAATGATGCAAACCGCATGCAGGAAAAAGATGCACGCCGCGAAATCTGTGGTGCTCCTTACTGAAGATTGCAAAGCAGATGCCCCTAACAGTTAGCCCCCTCAACAGCCTCATTTAAGCCAATCATTCTTCCAAGCGTTGCGTAATGTAGGGCTCCAAGCAATACTGATACTATTCATTGTTATTCCTTCAAACTATGGTATACGGTGCCTCAAAAATGCCTGAAAATAATGTAGGCAACCATTTAGCCCCCCTGTGTAGTAAGCCCCTCAGAGTCATTTTTGTGCAGGAGCCCCTTTTGGCGGAGAAGGATTTCCCTTCAAGCGAGGAGCCGCATGCTGCATGAAGTTGTTTAGAGTTTAGGTTGAGGATTCAGGGTTTTAGGGTTAGGGTGAGGTTCTCACATGATGTGCTGTCGCTTATCCCCAGAAGGGAAATGGCCAACTTATAGCCAGATAATACACTAGAAGCACATTTAGCAAGGGACTCATACAAACAATAACAGGAGTCCAAGATTTGAGAAGTCCTTTTACATGTGAAGCGCGTGCAGTAAGGGGTTTATATCGCCAAAAACAGGAGCCCAGGATTTGATAATTATGTATAATAAGGATTGTATGTAAAGAGTATCAGTATTCCTCCCAGCTTTGAAGCACAGTTAGGAAGGGATTCTTTAGTGGAAAACAGGTGCCAAGCATGTGAGAATTCTTTCTCAAGTTAAACCAGAACCAGAAACATGTAGCGGGGGATCGATATATAGAAAATCAGGTGCCCAGGGCCCAGAAATGCCTTTGCGAATTAAACAGATTTAGCAAGCTAGCCAATTTGGTAGACAAAGTTAAATACAGAAAAGAAGGAGCTTCTTCTTTAAAGTCGAAGCCAATTCAGTAGAGGAATCATATAGAGCAAATCCGGAGCCCCGAATCCAAAACGTCCATCTTTAATTGGACGCATGTATAGTGACGAGTTTATAGAAAAATTAAAGCAGGAGGCAAGGATTGAGATTTTTTGAAGTTTAAGAACATTTAGTAAGGTGTATATATATATACATATAAAGAAATTAGAGCCCAAATTCGAGAATCCCTATAAGATTTCGATGTACATTTGGTAAGGGTAACATAATGAAACTGGGGATATCAGGGTCAAAGACTTCTCCTGTAGAGCCGTAGCCAGTATAGTCAGGCGTATTCAATTTGCTCAGTACCAGAGACTTTTTCTTTAGATTCGAAGGCAATTTGTTAAAGGATTTAGATACTCAGAAGCTCAGGGTCTGAAAGTTCCATTTGAAATTTACAACACAGTTAATGAGGGGTGCATGTAAGCAAAGACAAAGCGCATGATGTGACGATTTGGGAATCTGTCTGTAAATTTCAAGCACATTAAGTCAGGATTTATATGGATAAGATACATAAGGAGCTCAGGATGTGAGAATTCCTCTCTAATGTTGGAACACATGTAGTAAGGGATCTAGTATAGACAGAAACAGTAGTCCAGGATGTGAGACTTCCTCTTTGAGTTTGAAGCCTTTTTGGGTTTACTGGTTTTACATGGTGGTTTTTAGTGCCTGTTTTGGGTTTTGCCAAGCATAACCATATATCGGTGCGATTTTCCTGAGATTTCCAAATTTTCCATAGTTTGTTCGTGTGTATAAAGAGTAAAGCCCATGACCCAGGACATCGTAACAGGAAGACCAGTAAGGAGGTTATTGCTCTTAATATTATTCAACTACTCCAGGTGCTTTTTTTCTTGGGCGGGGCGGGGGGGGGTGGGTCTGCATGGATTCACGCCACCTGTCCTGAGGGTTGTTGAAGTTAATCATCTTGCACTTGTTTATGGTGGCACTTCTACTCGAGGACCCTGCGTTCGTGGGGGTTTTGAGCATGTGCAGCCGCCGCCGTGTTCCAAGAGCATTTTGCACATTCCAAGCCTCCATGCCCAAACCATGATAACGTTCGTGTTCCAAGAGCATACGATCACCAGAGCATCC